CAGGCAGTAACTGCTGACCGTATTTTTAAAACAATCTCCTGGAGAGGTTATCAGATACAGCCCATAGGGAAGACAACACGGGGTAGGTATCTGAGGGACAAAAGACCCCACAGAGGGACAAATATAAAACCTGAGGTAAAAGAGAACCACAGAAACTTCCCTAAGCCCCACCAGGTCTGCTACTGTTGGCTGGTAAGCTATTGAGAAGAAAGGAGAGTTTCCTCAAACATGCATTGAGCACCTGTGCCAGGTATTGGGCTAGAAGTCATGGGGCCTCAAAGATGAGTAAGAAAGCTTGAACCTACACACGTGTTAAATGTAGGTTTGGGTGGCAAGCACTTAGCGGGAGAGGGAAGCTTGCCTTTCATGCCCTGTCATTCAGTCATTGGAACTTCAGTGATTGGAACTCTCCTGGCTCAGGTCTCCCAATGTCTTGGGCTTTTCACTTGTTCCACGTGTATGGCAATATGTCATTTTGATTTCTTGACTGCTGCTGCCGTGGGTATTGATTGTGGATCCAAGTAAAATGTAATCTTTGACAACTTAAATCTTTTCTCTGTTTATCATGATGTTGCTTATTGGTTCAGTTGTGAGGACTTTTTGTCACTTACCATTTTTGTCATTACCAGACCATAATTGCCCCTAGGACAAGGACAAGCACTCACATCTCACTCCTTCTTTGTAAACTAATCTTTTCTTAGCAGGTTTCTTCTCTACCTGTCACTAAATTTTGGTGTCCCTCAAAACACACCCTTCCTTCTACAGTCTTCTTGGGTTATGTCTCCCATAGCCCAGGATTTAATTTCTACCATCTGGCAATGACTGTCTGTAGCCCAGACCTTGCCCCTGAGTTACAGGTTGTATGTCCAGTGGCCTACTGACATCATCACTTGAATGTTTCAGCAATTTCTCAAACTCAGAATTTCCAAGACTTAAATGGTCTCCCTGCGTCTCATATTTGGTCCTCCCCTGGAGTTCTTTAGCTCAGAGAATGGCATCACTGCTCATCCAGGTGCACAGTCTGGAAACTTGGGAGTTATATTTAGCACTTTCCCCCTATATCAGTGGATTTAAGCCATGACCCAGTCATGTCAATTCAACCTCCAAATAGCTCTTGAACCTGCCCACTTGTCTCCATTCCCACCTCCATCCGCCTTCCAGCACCACATTATTTCTTTCTCCCACCTGAAAAACTATGGAAGCCTCTCAGCTGGTCTCCTTTCACCCACTCCCATACCTGCCACCCTGGATCATATTCTTCCCACTGCAGCCAGAGTGATTTAGATTTTCAAAATGCAAATATGATTTTGTTGACCCTCCACTTAAAGACCTTGAACAGTTTATCATTGCTGTTAGGACAGATCCCAACATCTTTAATGTGGCATACAAGGCCTTGCATGGGGCCTCCTACCTCTGTGTCCCATCCTGCCCACCCTACACTGCCTCCTTTCTCTGAGCCCAGGTCACTAGCCTTTCTTTTCCTTATTGCTCTTTCTTTCTGCTTAACATGACAACCCATACCTGTGCCTCCTTCTGGCCCTCCAGTCCCACTCTGGAGTCACTCCCTGGGATGGGATTCTCCCCAGCCACAGCCCCCTGCAACAGGAAGTTCTTGCTCACTTGGGGGAACCATTCTATGAGGGTCTGTACTACCTCCAAACCCCTGTCTGTCAGCCCTCCCTCCAAGCCCCCATCTGCTATCTCCCCCTAAAACCTCTGTCTGTCAACCTCTTGGAGGCTGAGGTTGCAGCAGCCACAGAGGACAGTCTCCTGTGGAAACACAGATCAAAGGGCAAGGCAAGGAGAACCTAGGTGGCCAGGTCATGTTTCTCTGGGAGTGGGGGCGTGAAAGAGGGACGGACCCAGTATGCTGCAGAGGATAAGAGGGATAGGCAGGCTCAGCAAACTACACTTGGACCCAGGCTCGCTGGCTCTGTCTTCCTGCTGGACAAGACGCTCCCGTGCTGCTGCAGGGTAGGTTCTGGACAGGTCAGGGAGGTACTTTTGCAAGGCCAGGGCCTGCCTCCCCATCCTGCAGAGGGTCAGGGCTGTACCAGGGAATCTGGGAGTTTCTCCTGGCCCTCTGTGAGGTCTAGGGTATGTCCTGCCCCAAAGTCACCAGGACACCCTGGCTTTGCTGCAGGTCAAGGGTGTTAGGACCTGAGGCTTCACACAACACAAGAGCACAGGCCTCAGTTACAGCCTGGCTCATCAGGTGGCCAAGCCCCTGTTTGGTACCAGGCCAACTGAGTGGGCGATGACCCTGCAAATAATAGTGTCAGGACCTAAGAAGGAGACCCTCAAAAGGCAATGGAGACCCAGGCATCTGAGCTGTTCCTTTAAGGCACAGGGCACTTGCAGGCAGAAAAATGTGTATGTATGTGTATGTGTATGAGACTGTGGGGGGTGGGATGGGAAGGAGGGAGGAGGGCATTCTTGGCAGAGGGGAGGAATAAGCAATACAGATGAAGTTCTAAGGCCTTCCTATGTTTCTGTACCACCATTCAACCTTCGCACATGGCCCATCAGAATGTTGTACTGAGCAGGGAAAACAATGTTAGCAGAGAGAATCTCAAAGGAATATTCCAAGCCTGGCATTCAGAGATCTGTGAAGCTTAATTCTTTAAAGAGAGTCATTCTGAATTGACCAGGAATGAACATGAATGATTGAAAAGTCCCTGAAGGTAGGGAACAAATAAATCCCAAAATAGGCAGCAAAATGGCATGATTAAGAGCATGGGCTCTGGAGAGGCTGCCTGGCTACCAGTCCCAGCTCTACCACAGACAAGCTGGGTGCCCTAGGGCAAGCTACTTAACCACTCATTCCTCATCTGTAAAATGGGTATAATTATACTTAGCTTGTAGGGTCGCTGTGAGGATGAATGGCTTAATATTTTAAAGTACCTGGAACAATATCTGACACATAGCAAGTATGAAAAAAATTTCTCATCCTGTAGGTCTTTAAACGGTGTTCCTGTGGGGTCTTTATGACATACTTGTGAAGAAAGTGATGAACCAGGCTTATTAGCCCTATTAAATATTTAGACACGCAGGCACTAAATATGACCGTGCAAGCTGAAACCACACAAAGGAATCTTAATAATCAGTGTGAAAATCTACAATTGTTCCATAACCTTTAGAATTTTTTGTCAAAACATTAAAAACTCTCTTACTGTAGAAGTGTATAGGGAAATGAAAAATATAGTAACTAATATTTTAGTACACTGTAATTTAAAACACTAGAAACATTGCCATTTTTAAAGTGATTTCTTTCTCTGTAAAAAAAAAAAAAAATCTTATCAAGAGTATTTGGAAGAATTCTTGCCTTCTTCTCCTTGCATAACTTACAATATTGAGCAAGCATCTTTTCTACACCTTGGTAAATTGTCACACTCCTTCCTAAGTTTGGATCACTGTCCAACATTCTATCCGTTGTGCTTTCAATGTTGTGAAATATCTCCGAGAGTTCTCTCAATGTGAAGTTTTTTGCCAGTATCACTTCCTCTGGGACCTCTTCATCCTTTTTGTCACAATCACTTCCCTCATTTATGTTTTTAACGTTGCTTTCAGGTTCCATCAATACAAATAGAACCTCAAGGGTCCTGGTTGTCAGAAAGTCACAAAAACGGTTACTCAGAATGTTGTAAAATTCCACTCTGGAGATTAGGAATCTAAAAAATCTCAACCTGTTCGAAGTAGCTAGTAAGTGTTAATAAGTATTTAAATGGTGGAATAATAGAATGAATCAACAAAATAATAAAGCAACTGAATGAAACTATATTGTGAAATGTCTGTAGTTGTTAGACATGAGCCTCTGATTGGACGTTTAAAATCTCACATAGGGAAATATAATCACATGCTCTTTAAGAATGTTATGAAAATTACGACCTCCTCCTGCCTCCAAAGAGGCACGTAAGTCGATACAACATTCTGTACAGTGTTTTGGGGAGTTCACAGAGCCCCTGAATGCAGTTAGACACACTGGCTAAGAATCTAGAATTGTATTACTCTGTAAAACCCAGTCAGTACACAAGTCCATTCGACCTAAGCCTCTTCGACTACAAATCACCATCTCTAAAACTCTTTTTATGAAAGTACAGGTATTACAAAGGCCAACTGAAAGGACAGACTAGCCAGTTATATTGGTGAATAACACAGCAGAACCAGCAGATCAAACTGAAAATTGCCCTGCACAGGAGGTTAGCCATTACTGGCACAGAGGCTGCTCGGGGCAGCCGAGCCTGTTGCTGGTGGCATTCTACTCTGCCTGTTCTTCCTTCCTTCCTCCCTCCACTTTCCCTTTCTTTCTCTTCTCCTTTTTTTCTTTCTCCCATTCTTCTTTTCCCACTAGCTTTAACATTAGCCCTCATAGACACTGCTTAACATAGCCTGTGGTGCGAGGGATTTTAGGTCCTCATTAAGGCCAATAAAGACTGTCCTGAGTGAGTTGCACTGAATTCACGCTGAGTGAGAACACCTCCACAACATCCAAGAAATGTGTTCTTGGTAGAAGCTTACTATTTGGGGGAAGCAGTTTTGAGCAAGGAAAAGAGTTTGGGGATTTTTTTTTTTTTTAATTGATTTGGCTTCAAGGGAAGGAGATTGCCTAAACAAAGCCTACTGATGAAGTAGTGAAATGATTCCATCACTGGCATGAGCTTCAGTTTCTCCTATTTTGGTAAGAAACTTGGCTCTCAATTGGGAACGCACGTCACTCCACCCTACCCACTCAAGGGCAACATGATAAAGTTCTATCAGACCAAGTGCCTAGATGAACCTGAGACTCTACCAAGGTCAGAAATGCTGTACCTCAAGCCAAAAGATCTCCCCTGGGCTTGTTTGTTTTGACTTGAAACCACAAATTTGTCTTGTCTAAGCGTCCAATCACATTATAAAACAAAGCACAGGGTTCTACAGTGCAGCATCCTCCGAAGCAACAGGAGTCGTAGATGAAACTTTTAGGGGATTTTCTAACTTTTCTGCCCCTTTGATTTCCACAGGACTTTAAATTGCTTCCCCTGAGCTCAAAGAAGGCGAGATGATTTTGGAACTGCTGAACCCAATGCGCTATAACATCACTGGTATGGTGCCTGAGGTCATGCCTGTTGCCACCATGCCAATCCTGCTGCTCACTGGCTTTCTTCTCCTGGTCTGGAATCATGAGGGCACATCCTCAATCCCAGGTAAACAAGTCTTTGATTTCTGTATCTAAGGAGATTGTTTACTTGGGCTTTTGGTCAGTGGCGGTAAAGAAAATTGTGCACAAAGGCAAAGACAAAGACGCAGCCTGGGGACATCTGTGAAGATCACCCCGTGTCAGCAAATTAGGACCTAGGTAAAAACATCTTTTATACTAATTATCTGCATATTTCAAATGAAAATCTATTTTTTAAATATCTTAGATAATGGCTTCCAGTCTGCACTTTGCATTGGTAAAGTATCCTTTAAGACAAGCTCGAGATGGGGTGGAGCAAGGTAAAACTAAATTCTAGGTAGTTTTTCTTTTTTTAATAATTCCAGTTTTGCTCTGAAGGTGAAAATGTCTCTAGAATGCCTTCTATACTCTTCTTCTCCCTACTCCTTTGTGTCACCCTTGCCCTCTCCCTTCTTTGTATGTACCTCTTTTCTTTGTTCCATTCTTCATTTTCTTTTATTCCTTTGGGGTTTAGGGATGGTGGTGCTGCCGTAAGGGTTGGATGGGCCGAGGGTGGCAGGACAAAATGGGGACCACTAGCGTTCCCTTTAAACATCAAACCCTGAAAGAATCTTCAACAAAGTCTGTAGGTCAATCAAGAGTACAGCATTATATAATTATCCAGATAATTTAAATAGAAAACCCTACCACTCTACCACTAATGCTCGAATCGTCAAATAATTACCTCTGTTTCTTTAGTTTTCAGTGAAAACTCCTCATGGCAAGGTATCAGTCCCAACTCCTACAAAATATCTGGTATGGCTTTATTTTGAGAGAATAGTTATTGCACAATTTTAAGTGTGATTGTCCTCGTCACAGTGTGCTGGGAGTGTGAGGAATTGGTACAAAATGCCCTATGTCTGGATTCTTTTTTAAAATTTCCCCAGTAATTGCCTGTCTCTCTTTCTGATTCAACCTGGTATTTTAGGTTACATTAATACCCAATTTAATACAGAACATTTAGTTAGTTTTGTTCTCAATTATACCCTCTTTGTCTCCCCAAGAAGTAAACACTTTCCTGGATTTTGTGCCAAGCACTTTCTTGCTGTTTTAGAGTTTTGCCACCTAATTTTGCATCCCCAAACAATATAGTTTAATTTTGCCTGGTTTTAAACATTTTATCAATCAAATCATTGATTATCTCTCTTGCTGCTTTTGTTTAATATTGCGTTGGTAGGATGTGTCCATGTTGTGGCATGCTGCTACGGTTTGTTCATTGTCATTGCCATGTTGTAATCAATTATATCAACATCTCTTGTTTTTTTTTTTTTTTTTTTTTGCCAGTCGTATTGTTTATGGGCATTTGGGTTGCCTCCAGTTTGAAGCCTCTGTGAACAGTGCTGCTATGAACATTTGTGTGCATGTATATCCCTTGATGCTCAAGTGCAAGGGGTTCTCTAGGGCATATACCTAGGAATGGGATGCAACAACTTCTTGATTATGACTGCTGGTGTGAGGTCTCAGCTGTTGGCTTCAAGGAGGGGTCTCTGCACAAAAATACAGTATTTACTTTTTCTCTTGGGGTGTGAAGAGGCTCCCACAATCCCTGCATGCCTAGATAAGCATTCCCCTAGTTAAGCAGAGCATGGTTTAGTGTGGATGCAACCAGAATACTTCGCTAATATTCTACCAAACTTTCTCCCTTCCTACAGCATTCTTCTCAGCCAGGGTATAAGATACACATGTAAATGAGAAGATCACATTGTGTTATATTTATTTTGTAATTTTTTTTTCACTTACTCTCCATCTCTTCTGCCCCGGGACTCTAATGGGGGCCAAGTTATACTTACCATACCATCTCCAGTCCCTAATTAGGGGTTAGTGTCTATACCTGATAGGGTCTCAGTAAGTGTTGGATTAATTAAGTTGACATACAATTGGTCACTAAGACCCAAAACTCTTACTCTCTTCTGGCTAGAACTGTCAGGTTCTCAAACTCAGCCCAGAGTTCATAGCAATCACTCTCTTTCAGTAGCTAAAGCTCTCTACTGCCATATTTTAAATTTGATGGTAGTTCTCATATATTCAGACTTTCTACATGGCACCAGAATTTTAGATAAAAGATGAAGTACAGCCTTTCATTTGTATGTCTTTGTTTCTCATAGAACTGGCATATTAAGTAGGTAAATATTTATTGAATAAGTGTATTTCTAAATAGCCATCAATTTAAAAAATACATTCAGGAAACGTTTATTGAACATCTGCAATGTACCAAGCTGTAAATATCCAGCAAAGTATTTTGTTATTATGAGCATTTTGGTTGATTAGAGGTTGGCATATATGATGACAATTTAAGGAAATACCGGTATATTCAACCAAATGTACTTGTTTACATCTTTTTAAGAACTTAATGAAATTATGTCAGTATAAAGTCAGTCATCTACTTTGAAATATAGTATTATCATAAGATTGATAACTCTTTGGTGATGTTTTGGTTGTATAGATATTAACAAAAACCTCCTCTTTAAAGAAAAATAAATAAATAAAGCTGACAGTCTCAGTCTCGACCACACTAACTCAGTTACTGCAAAGTTAAAAATGAAACCTTATCTGCTGAATTTGGGACTAAACGTCCAGTTTAGATGATTCGGGACTGTCTAGATTACAGTGCAGCCCTCCCATGGAGTGAGAGTGCTGGCTCACAGAGCTGGGCATGTTTTGGCTTCACAACAATTTCACTGACACCATGGAATCAGAGGACAAAGATTTAGAAGCTACTTCACAATAAAATTTCTAAAATCATTCCAAAAAATTTGTAATCGAACTTTTCACCACCATCAGTAAAATGAAGCTACCAGGTTTGTTCTCTGCTGTCAAAGCAGAACCACATGCCCCTGTGGCTCCTGGGCTCCTATTGGTGACAATGCTGCCATCATCTAGAAAGCATTCGGCCACTGCTCCTGAGTAAACGCAGAGCACTACACCTAAACTCTAGTTGACCAGCTTCATTGCTAATTGCTCAGTTCTTAGCTTTATTTGGCCTCCTAAGATTTAACTGAAGATTCCTTTCTCAAACTGGGTCCCTTTGGAGGGAGAAGAGAAATGGATGTTCTTTGTTTGGACATTATCTTTGCAGTTCTTATTTCTTTCAGTTAAAAGGAGTACACCAAAACTACCATCCAGTTCTAACCCAACTATTCTGTCAAAATCAAACGTTTTCAGGCAAAACCAAGCAGCCAAGCAGATCTGTCAGCTTGTTACTTGTCATGGTTTCCATGCTTGTTACCAGACTGATGATTGACTTGTATCTGAAACTCACTGGCACGATTTAGCATGGCAAGAAATTAGCAGACATATCTCAGTTCACTCAGACTGAGACAACTGAGACCAAATTGAACCAGTGTGCTGTGAGAACTAAGCTGTTTTTTATTCATTGAGGGGTGAAGAGCCTCATGCTAAGCTTACTTTATTGCTATTATTGTTACTTTAAGAATTCACAACTATACATCAAAAGATGTAAAAGAACACTTAAATATAAAAGAACAAAGACAACAGCAACCAAAAGCAGTTTCCGTTTTTTAAGGTTGCTAAGATGCTGATGGTAATATGATGGTTTTCCCAGGTCCCGGCTATTGTATGGGCATTGGCCCCCTCATTTCACATGGCAGATTCCTGTGGATGGGGATTGGCAGTGCCTGCAACTACTACAACAAGATGTATGGAGAGTTCATGAGAGTCTGGATATGTGGAGAGGAGACACTCATCATTAGCAAGTGAGTCTGTTAATAACATGAGACTTAAAATTGTAAATTGAGGTTGGGCTTTTTTCTATTTAAAAAAAAAAAAACAACTTATTTCAATATCCTGATGTAGTTTCTAAGGCTATGTTTTTACCACTGAAATGAAGGTGAGCAACTTCTGAGTAAAAATCTAACACTGTAGACAAAAGAGTAAATTAGGCTTTGCTTGAAGCCAGAGCCACATGAGTAAAGAACTCTGGAAAGCTGAGAAATAGCAGTCTCTCTGGGCAGTGAATGTGGAGACTTAAGAGTCCAGAGAACTTGGTTTTGACAAAAATATACTTGAGGGAGAGGCATCATCATTTCTGGTTTCCTAAGATTTTGGTCTTATCTTTACAAATAAACATTAAAAAAGAAAAAGAAAAAAAAAGCTGAGACAAAGAAATCTGAGTGTATCCAGTCGCTAATGTATCTCTGATGCCAGGCTGCTGAGCACCTCTGGACAGGCACACACTGCATTCCTTCCAGAACATGTGCAGTGTGCCCAATGAGGGATCTCAGAGAACAAAATCGCCTCCTAAAAAAAATGATCTTCCCCCTCTCTGCATTGTTCGTATTTCCCTGATAATTTAGCAGATTGAATTCAGTCTAGGGCTAACCTAATATGCATTATCAGACTGTGAAGAACTGGCTTTGTGAAAAACTAGTTTTCTTATTTATTGGTCATAGAAAAAGGAGAATTTCAAAGAGAGAGTATGTCACTAGACTTTCAGCTATCTTTACTAGACTTTTAGCAAAGCTACCTGCCAACACTCTTATTAAGGAATTTTTATATTTATTACCCCGACTCAGCTTTATCCACAAACTAAGACTGATTTATTAGAATTATTCATTCAGATACACAGATTATTGCTCAGACTTAAGTGAAACACTTCTGGAAACTACATTAATTTCACCAGACCAACATTGTACATGTCATTCCATAAATTACAGTGATATCCTCAGAGCTTAGCTCTTTTAACCAAGGGGGCAAGGGAGAAAAATTTATTATACATCCAAATATTTCACACTGTCCAGGAATTTTGTTTTGGAGCTACCACAAACTTGATTATTGCCTGGGTTCTTTCTGTTTCAGTGGTGGGGCGCCACTTGTAAGAGTAGCTGCTACGGCAGCCCATGTTTATACAGTTAAGCATGACTGTGGCTTTGGGTTGATGTGTGGCTTCGTTAGGTGTCACTGTGAAACACTAATGCAGTGGTTCTCAATGTGTGGGCCCTGAACCAGCAGCATCAGCACCTTCTGAGAACGTGTTAGAAGTGCACGTTCTTGGGCCCCGCTCTGATGAACTAACTCTCTGGGGTAGGACTCAGCAGTCTGTGCTGTGACGAGCGCTCCAGGTGGTTCTCATACCCGCTCAAGTCTGAGAACCACTGCTCTAATCACTAAGCCATAATTACTCTTTGGTTTTACTTTTTCTGGTGTGTTGAGCACTGGTCAGCCAAATTTAAGTGAATTTGATATGATCTTGATGTATTCTCACTGAAAACATCAATACTTCAGTCACCTTTGCAAGTGGCTATGGTCTCAAAAATGTCCTGGAACTGATGGCGTTTGCGCTGGGGAGATTAGGACATTCCCTCCTGCCTTTTCATCCCCCAGCATAGCAAGTTGCCGTATAGTCTTCCTCCATTCAGCATCTGCTTCCCTGTCACCTGTTACTGTCAGCAGATAGGTGTGCTGACCCTCAGGATATTTATCCAAAAGTACATCTACCTGCTGCTCAGGATCTACAGCAGTAATTCTCACCCTGGCTTCACATCAGAGTTACCTGGGGACCTTTTAAGCCCTCAGTGCCCAACCTGCACCCTTAGACAATTAGCTCAGAATCTCAGAATCTCTAGTGCTGGGAGCCAGGCATCCGTAATGTTTAAAGCTCCCCAGGGGATCCCATTGTGCAGTGGCTTGAGAACCTCTGGTCTAGAGAGAGAGGAGCAGGTAAGAGGACTCCAGGGCAGGAGGGCCTTTCCCTGGGTTTAGGAGAAGCCGCTAAGCATGATTGGAATGGTTTTGTCTTATTATCTTACTCCCAAGTCTAGATAAGGTGGTCCTATCCCCATTGTCATTGAGTTGATTCTGACTTATAGCGACCTTATAGTACAGAGTAGAACTGCCTCATGGCATTTCCAAGGCTGTAATCTTTACAGAAGCAGACAGCCACATCTTTCTCCCATGGACACGACAGGTGGGTTCGAACTGCCAACCTTTGCGTTAGAGCCGAGCACTTTAACCGCTGCACCACCAGGGTTCCTGATAAGGTGGTGGTAGGTATAAAACTACATTGTAGTGAAGAAGGAATGGATTTGGGAAAGGACCAGACTATCAGAGCAGAAATCGCTCCTTAGGACAGCACCAGATGAATTCTCTGGATCCCAAAGAGGGATTTTCAAGGAATTTAAGACAATTCCTCAAGTACAATCCCTGTTACCGTGAAGGGTAGCTTCTAATCACTTTGCTTGCCTTAATTAGGACAGTGATCTTTCCCACCTCGACCAAGTTAGGCACTGATTCAGGCTGGGGGTATGGAGGCAGCCCGTGCGGCCCCCTCAGCTTGCTCAGCTCCTTTCTTGTGTCCTGACAGGCTTTTCTCTTGTCAGAGTCTTTGTGTTCTCCTTAAGTGCCTCAGAGCTGCTCAATTTTGTTGTTAAAGGCTGGTCCCCGAGGTAATAGGACATGTTTTTCCCAATCTCCTTTCCTTGCCGGCTCTTCAAGTTCCTTCCAGAACTCCCTGTACCTCTTGAAAAGACCCTATTGGACCTCAGAAAGCTTTTATTTTTATTTGAATAGTTTGAAAGATTTTTTTTTTCTTTTGAAAAGTTTGAGGTCTGTAGTCATTACAGCTGCACAGAGATTATAGTCTAACTTTCCAGGACCTTTTCAACCAGTATGGTCTCGAAATGGTTGGGGCTGCAGAGCTTCTGTGGAAGACGTCAAGCATGAGAACTGCAGGGATGCTGCATAGCAACTCAGGGATGTAGCCGTTAGCAGGATGAGCTGGGCAACTCCAGAGAACCTGAGGCAGGCAGGTTCTGAATGGACTGAAATGCCGACTTTGGGGTACAGTCCATCTGGTCATTTGTAGATGAGCATGCACAATTCCCTCATGCAAATACACGGTTGAACCCATGCCTGAGCTCCCTCTAAACCAATGAGTGTCTACACATGCTGTATATGGGACTGCATGTCATGTGTGTATATACTAGTATGTGTCATAAATACAAGAAAAAGAATTTGAGTAGCATCCATAAAGGGGAATTAGCAGTTAACATACTAATTAGGGTAGTATTTGCATGCCTGTTAGCAATTAACATACTAATTAGGGTTATGTTTGCACATCTGTTTTAATCATGTGTTAAGTTATGGGGGTTCATTCATCCATTCTTTCAACATACATTTATTGAGAATTTACTATATACTAAGCTCTGGATGGAAACCCTGGTGGCATAGTGGTTAAGAGCTACAGCTGCTAACCAAAAGGCTGGCAGTTCTAATCCACCAGGTGCTCCTTGGAAACTCTATGGGGCAGTTCTACTCTGTCCTATAGGGTTGCTATGAGTCGGAATTGGTTTTGGTGTTTTTAAGCACTGGATGATCCTAATTTATAATAGTCATTATTGGCTCTCCATTCATTCATTAAATAAGTATTTATTGAAGATTTACAGGTACCAGATATTGTTCTAGGCTCTGGGAACACAGCAATAAACAAATCAGCCAAAGATCCCTACCCTTGTGGAGCAATACATTGCTAACATGCTAACAATAAATAAGTAAAATATATGGTACATCAGCAGGGTGACCAGCTGTCTCAGTTTGGGTGGGACTTGGGAGTTTCTTAGGATGTGGGGCTTTCAGTGCTAAAACTAGGACAGTCCTTGGCAAAGGAGCATGGTTGGCCATGCTTTCATCAGATGGATATTTGCTATACAGAAAACTAAAGTAGGGAAGGAGGGTGAGGAGGGCCAGTTGCAGAGATAGGGGTACAGTTTTAAATAGATAATTGAGGCAGACCTCATTGAGAAGGTGGCATTTGAATAAAGACCTGAAGGAAGTAAGAGAGTGAGCCATGCAAAGATCTGGAGGAAAAGCATTCTGTACAGAAGGAACAGAAAGTGCAAAGGCCCTGAGGTAGGAGGCTGCCTGGAATGTAATGGACACCAGTGTGGCTAAGTAGAAGAACAGTGGAGAGAATAGTCAGAGAGGCAATAGGGTACCTGATCATATTGGGTCTTGCAGGCCATCCTGACAAGCTGACTTTTACCTTGCATGAGATGTGAAGCCATTGAAAAGTTCCAAGCAGAGTAGTGACATATCTGACTAACTTATGTTTCAGCAGCATCATTCTGGCTGCTGTCTTGAGAACAAGTTGTAAGGAGACAAGAGAGAGGCAGAGGGTCCAGTTAGAAAGTTACTGCAATAATCCAGGGAACAGATGATGGTGACTTGTATAGTAAGAGTAGTAGAGGTGATAAGTGATGAGGTGAAATTTTGGACATATTTTTAATACAAAGCCAACAGGACTTACTGAAAGATTGGATGTTGGGTTTGAGAGAAAGAGAAGAGTCAAATTGACGTCACAATTTTTCCCTTGAACACCTAGAGGAATGAGGTATCATTCCCTGAGATAGGTGGAGCAGGTTTGAATGGGGAGAAATCAGGATTCCACTTGACACATGTTAGGCAAAAGCCTGACCAGGGTAGAAAATAAGGGCACAAGAATCAGAGGCAGCAGGTGTAGACAACTCTTCCAAGGAGCTTGCTCTAAAGGAGGCAGAGAAATGGGACAGTGGATGGAGAAGGATGAGGGGTCGAAGTGTGTTTATTAAGGAAGGAGAAACGACAGCATGTTTGTGATGATGGAAAGTATCAACTATGGAGGAAGGTGGCTGGTGGAGGAGAAAGAAGGGGATGTGCTAGGTGACAGGTAAAAGCTCACCCACAGTAACAGGAGTGAAAGTTGAATATACAGGCATAGATG